GAGGTCACATGTAGATCCTTGTAATCAGTTCCCCCTTTCCAACTCACCCTCCCTCCACCCTCCTAGTATCCACAAACTTTTTAAAAGACTCTCTCTTACATGGCGTATTCTTAATTTTACTTTAAGTGTTCTTTAATTTACCTTTAAGGTGCTTTGGTGGCATTTACAGGTAAAATTGCTAACCACAAAGCCAGCAGTTCGAAACCACTAACCTCTCCATGGAAGAAAGATGAGGCTGTCGGCTCCCATAGATTTACAAAATCTTGGAAACTCTGTACAGGGTTGCTATGAGTTGGAATTGATTCTACAGCAGTGGATTTGTATAATGTATACTTATAGTTTGTACATCTTTTTTTTTTTAATAATCTGTCAGTATACTTCATCTGAGTCCATATCTAATCAGATCTTAAATCCCTCCTCACACCAGTTTTAAAACCAAACACAAATCCTGAAAACCACCAAACAAAACAGAAAACAAAAGCAATCCAAACAGACAAGACTAGCCTGGGAGATTATGAGGTCTCCCCAAGAGGGCCAACAAGATGCTAGCAGAGCTAGAGCCTAGGGCGTTTCCGGAGGCCACTTCTCAGACATCCCAGGGTAGTCAGCAGGGCCTACCTTACTTGATAAGGTTTTGGAGAATAATCCAATTTCACCCACAGGTGGTAAGTCTGGCTCTTTTCTACATGTGCATTGGTTGCTCCCCTCCATCCCAGCCTTCACTCCTAAACCCAATCTATTCCTAGCAATGGGGAGATTAAGAAAATAAAAAAAACCTATCCTGGGTTGTAAAAATTCAGAAGGAAAAAAAAAAATTCAGAAGTCAAGATGTTCTAAATTATTCTACACAAGAATGGGGTATTGTGTTATATGAATGTTCTTGCTAACTTAGTGGCTCTGTTGATAAAGTTGCACTGATCAGAAAAGGCCATTCTTTTACATTCAGAGAACTGGTTCTGTGTGTGTTAGAGAATACAAACAGTTGTTTGCAACCTGTCTCCTGTCTTGTTTTAACTGGGTCCCTTAAAGTCACTTTAAATCAATGTTTCACTCAAGTGGTGGAGTAAGATATGATTTTGGATCTTGGGGCTGCAGGCATTCTTAACCAAACTCTCAGGCTTGCTAAGTTGACAATTTACGTACTTGGAACAGTTATTGTGAATACGAGGGTTCTTGCATCAAGTGAATGAGGATTCTAATGGAGGAAAAAAGGTACTTGTCAGTTTGAAAGTCGCAGTTTTATCTTTCTATCATTAGATTAAGAGGAAAATGAAGAATCCACTGGAAGCAGGAAGAAACAAGAGTCTTCTTAAGTCTGGTATTTGATGAGATACTCAGTTTCTGTGCATTTCCATTTTTTTTTTCCCATGGCAGAACATACACCAGATTGGGAACTCACATGCCTGAAGCCAGGTTACTCTTGTGTTCTGCAACTACGTTGCTTGCCGAGCTTTATCCCAGTCTTCCTCGCAAGGAGGCCACTGCCATGTTCTCTCAGCTAGAGTCTCTTGTCCAAGGTTCCTCGTTTGGTTGACAACATCCTGCTCAATGCAACTCTTGTCATCACAGCTTAAGATATGATGACTGATTTCAGCCCGAGGAACCTGGTGGCGAGCTTTGAAGGGACAAGTAGCCAATTTGTTTGCAACATCAGGATGATTCTTTCTGCACTTGATAAGATGATAGAGAACTTGCAGGCCCTGATCTGGTGGTTTTTGTCATAGGGGCATTGTAATAGCTTTTCAGGGTCCAGGGAATTGATGTAAGTTTCTTCCTTGTTGGAGATGAAGGGGCTGAATCCAAGTGCTCAGTCTGGGCAGTCAAGACGTGCTCTCTTAACAAGCACCACAGCCCGACATCAGCCTAGTTTGTACATCTTTGACAGCTGTGAAAAATAAATCTTTTTGTTGTATAGTTTTCTTTGATGAGCATTCTCCTGAGTTCAGAGAAGGAAGATGAGAATATGAGGAGGAGGGAAGAAACATAAGGCCAAGATTGTATACTCTATTATAAAATGCCTTTTTGAAAAAAAAAAGCAAAAGAAAAACAAACAAAAAAATGCCTTTTGGGGCATAATATTTTCAAACTCTGTTTCCCACCGTTAAAATCACCTAGTCCATCAGATGTGACCATTCCAGTGCCATTAGTGTCTTCTATGCATGTTGTAACCTGCTCTCCACCAGCTCTCTCCAGTACTGCCCTCATATTAGCCTGCAGCCCATGACAGCTCTGGGCCTGCTGACAGTTTCCTGCATTGCAACAACAATCACCTGCTTATGTCCGTGTTGGAGAGAAAAATATTCACCAAAATGACTGTACCACATCCCAACTCATATGCCATGTGCCTGACCCTTTTTACTATGCTGCGTATTTCACCTCAATTTCCTTGTGTTGTCCCAGGGACCTATGTCTATGTGTAAATCCAAATTAATTTTTTGTTTAGTATAGGTTCATATTATACATATTGTTCTTTCATAAATACTGCTTTTAAAAAATGACTGATTGATATTGTGTTAGTCCTAGTAGACTAGAGAAAGAAATCCATAGAACCTCATATGTATATAAGAGAGAGTTTTATATAAAGGGTAAACTACATTAAGAAAGCATCCCAACCCAGTCTAGTCCAAGCCCATAAATACAATATTAGCCCATATGTCTGATACCAATCTATAAAGTCCTCTTCAGACTCAAGAAACACATGCAATGAAGCCGAATGCAGGATGGTCACAGGCTAGTGGGTAGAAAGTCTTTGGATCCAGTGGCATTGTAAACATCTCAGTGCTGGCAGGGGTCTCTACATGGCTTCTCTGGCTTCAGAGGTCTGGTTGCATCAGGGTATGTCCATATATGGCTTCTCCAACTCTAGGCACCAGTGTAGTTCCATGTGTCTTGTCAGCTGCAATGTCTCCCAGGAGTGAGCAGAGAGAGATGTGTCTCCCACTCCCAAGGAGGAAAATTCAGGAGTTCCAGGAATTCTTAGAAGAAGGCCATGCCCACACAGAGACCTCATTGGTTATATATTGATTGACAGGCCAGACTCCAACCCGTCACTAGTAATCCTCTCAAATTGACACCAGATTATGTAACTACCACAGGTATATTCAATTACATATGGAACTAGCTTGGATTTAATGAAGTGTCCTTTTTTTTGAATTGTCCTTTTACCATATACCATTCTTGGTATATGTGATTTTTATATCCCTTTAAGGGCCTCCATGTAATTGCTTTATAATCTTTGATAAATCTGTCAGTTAGTGATAAGGTAGAATGCAATGCAGTGGTTGATGTTCTGTAAAATACTTAATTATGTCCCTCTCCCGTGCCTTTAGGTTGTTTTCTGTTTTAAAATATTATGATAATGAAATAATTATCTTTATGGATAGAGGTTTTCTATTTTAATGATCATTTTTCTAGATAGCATTCCAGAGCGCATCAAATATACAAACAGGTCAAAGAGATCAACATTTTAAAATTAACCACACAGAGTGATGCTTGAAACATAATCTGTAGTCAAAAAGAATTTCTGGGATGAAAGCATATTATAAAAATTGCTCTCTGATATGGTTGTACCAAGTTTTTTTCCCCACTAACGTATGAGATTGTGTCTTTTTTCATAACCATATACAAACATTAATTTATGGATTTGATTATAAACAAAATAATTTTTATATTTATTCTGAAAAAAAACTGCTCTCAAAGGGTATGACTAAGATCTGTTTCTCTTTTAATTTTCACCTAATCGGTAAGGGAACATATATTTTCTTACAGGACTGAATTTGCTCTTAAAGAAACCATGTCCTCTGGAGGTGTTGAAGATGACATCCCACAGGGAGAGAGGAAAACCGTGACTGATTTTTGTTACCTCCTCGATAAATCTAAGCAACTCTTCAATGGGTTAAGGTTAGTGTACTCTTCATTGTTTTAAATATTTCTCTAGTTCAGCTTTTTTTGTTGTTGTTATTATTGGTTTGCTGGCTGATAGCAGATAAGTTACCAAAAGTTATGCATAGAATTCTGTAGAATTATTTAAGCTAGGGGAAGGATCATGATCTTTTTCTTTAACATTCTTTTTTCTTAGATGAAATACAATAGCAAAGGAACATAATGTGTATTGCTTCATTCAACAGGATATCTAGAAATAATTTTTTATATATCAGCCTTGGAACCCTATAGGGCAGTGCTTTGAGTTAGAATTACAGTAACTTGACAGTAACTGATCTGTATACACGGGATGATATAGAACTTTTAAAAAGAATTTTGATGGATATATGTGTGTGTATGTGTGTATGACAAATTAACCAAAATTTAAAATTAGTATGTATTATGTAATTAGTTGGGGCTTATCAAAATTTTTATATTATGTTTATTATTTGTATTCCATAGTAACTTTGTCCTTGTGGGAGCTGTTTGCTCTAGTGCTAAGCTTGTTCTCTTTCTTCCAAGGAACTGATTTTTCTCTTAACATGTGGTGTGTCTGTTTTTCTCTGATTGTCTTATAAATGAATTTACTTGTTGAATATTAGTGACTAGAAAACTATCTATTTATTATTTGCTTAGGTATGACACCTTAGTTTCTTTGGTGGACAGAACTTCCAGTGTGTTGATATGTTGGGAGGGTGGAGAGTAGCATAGTTCTCCGTACTACTCTCCCCAATCTCTGTCCAGAGAAGTCCTTTGAGCCTTCAGATGTCTGAATGCACCAGCTCTCAACTTTTAGGTGTCGATACAGTTTTTAAGCATTTCTTTTGAAAGAGACAGATTTCTTTTGGAATAACTAAGAAAAGGCTTTCTGTTTTGTTTATCCCTTCTTGTATTTGTGTTTGTCTGAATAGAAAAGAGGATCATAGTACTTAACTAGTAGAGCACTAGTAGTGGTCTTGGACCAGCGTCAGGACTGCGGAAGGCGGAGGAAGAGGCAATCCAGCTGACATAGCATCAATCAGCTTTTAGCTTTGGGTCGAGCTATTCAGTCCCTTGAGCATTCATTCCATTCTTAGTGCTTATATGTTTGGGAGCTTTCTTTTATGCTTTTTTCTTTCTTCAGGTCATAAACTAGTGATTAAACTTACTGAGGCATAAGATACTTGGCAAAGAAGCACACATGCTGTCAGTGTACAGCTTGGTACTGCTTTACAGACTGATGACATCCTTGTGATTTGTATTCAGTTCAAGAAAGAGACCAAACAGCACCTTAGAAACCCCTTGAATACTCCATCATGTGGACTTTTTAACTCTTTAAGAACAAAATAAAAAGTGCATTAAGGGCTGTAGGTTTTTCCTTTATAATGTCAAGTTGGCATATACTAAATTCCCTCCTACTAATGTAAGTGTGTGTCTTTCCACCTTATATTAAGCTGTTTACCTGAATTGTCAAAGCCATGATGAATATCTTAATGGAGTATTTTTCTTATCTGAGAATGCCTTTTCATAATAAATAGCTCTTTTTTCCCATTTATTGTGAAAAAAAACATAGTTCAAAGAATATGAAATGGATAAAATGAATGGTGTTTTGCCCAGAGTAATTCTTTCATATAGTTATTGTAGTAATGAAATCAACATAATGTTAGAAATAGCTTTGAATACAGTCAGGAAATGATCAAAAGTCTTAGTGCTTGCAGGGTTCTAGTTACCATGGTGACTCAGACTGGAATACTTGGAGGGATTATATAAGGCACCATCTTGAGGCGTGTATTAGAGACACAGCTGTGTCTATCAGTAATATCCATAATTGTGGTGCTGTGCAAAGGAAGAGGCCTCTAAGTCTGTCACTAATTATTTGGCATCAGATGGACAAATACGCAAAGAGAAGCCAAGCTTTGGAGATCATAAAATAGATATTTTCCTGAGTTATACCCCAAAGTGAAATGTAATGGCCTTAAATAAAAATAAACACAGATTACTTTTCATTTTTCTTTTAATATGCAAATGAAGAATGAATGCATTTATAACCCTTCCTTTAAGCCCCCTTGTTCCTAATTCAGGCTTGGACAACAGATAAAAAGTTTTTTCCATTGTCTCCTTCCTTCCCAACCCTCCCTTCCCTTCCCCTCTTCTCTCCTCCTTATTCAGAAAATCAGCATTCTCCTAGAGGCAACTTCTGCACACTGTTAACAGTAAGGCACATACTGTTTCAGAGATTATACCCTAAACAGTTTGTGCAACCTTATGATAGCTGCTTTTTGATATGGTTTACCACGCAGACGCATGGAATTTGCATTTGATACCCCATCAGGTATCTTGATTGCATGGTGGCTACAGGAGTTTATTGTCTCATATTTTCGAAGCTGCTAGTCTGAATTCAGGGTTTCTGCAGTGCCATGTTCTCTCAGGAGGCTCTCAAGAAGGTTCTTTCTTTCTTGCCTTTCCAAGTGTCTGGAAAGGTGTTCCTTGACTTACAGCAGGACATCCTAACTCTCTCTGTGCATGTTCTCTCTCTCTTTCATTTGTCTCTTTTATAGGATACCACTCAGATTGGCTGAAGATCCACCCTCTTCCAGTATGCCATCAGTTTAATTTGACTGATGGTATCGCCAGGGACCCTTTTTCCAAAGAGGGTCACTTTATAGGTACCAGAGATTAGGACTTCAATACAAATTTCTGGGAAACATAACTCAATTTGTAACATACAGTCTAGAGAAGTATTGTCCAACAGAAATGTAATTTGAGCCATAAATATACAGTTTAATTTTTAATATTAATATATCAATTTATTTTAATTAATTTTATTTCAGTATTTTTAAGTATAGAAAAATTATTGTTAAGATAGGTTACATTCTTGTTTTACACCCAGTTTTGGAGATAGAGTGACTATTTTATACTTAACATGTTGATTCATATCAGCCATATGTAGCTAGAGGCTGCTATATTAGCACAGCATATAAGTCTAGAGTTTACTGAAAAATTAGTTCTTTTGACTCTTCCCTTTATTTTCCAATAACCTCAGTTTCTAACTACTGATTTTATAATGTAACATAGATTCTGAAAATAAATCCAAACAAATGTATAGCTTAATTAATTATTATAAAACAAATATCCTTATCACCACTATGCCACCAACAATTAAACTTTGCCAGCTTTCCACATGTTCTCTATGAGCCCTGTCTCATCATAACTGCTCCCCTCCCAATCTACCATTTGGTTAATCACTGGCAATGTTTGGGAAAGAACATGAATGCTTAATTATTTTCGCTTATATTCAAGATATATTTCATATTTCTGGATATTGAATTTTTTCTTTATCAGCCTCTAAAGATGAGCAATTAACTTGTTTTAGTGGTATAATAAACTTTGGGGTTTACGTACATTTGTTGAATTGGAACAAAGATGCCCCTGAAACACAATCCTCTGTGCAAAGTGTGTATAAACGAAGCGATGGCCTCCTTGACCAAAAACCTTATTCAGAAAAGTTGGGTTATTCCTTGGATTGGAGCTTCATTGGCGATGAAGAGCATCCCAAGACCTGGGAAACAGAACTATTGGAAAAGAACTATACTGATGTAGAATCAAAGCCTCGCTTGTTTTTCAGTGCAGTAGAAAGGAAAGACCACTGGACCTAGGATTCAGAAAATCTGAATTTGAATCAGAGATTTACAGCCTACTGCTCATAAGTTCCCAAGGACTCATTTAAGCTCTCTGAGCTACCATGTAATGTGGGTGTTGTTGTTTGTGTGTGTGTGTGTGTGTGTGTGTGTGTGTGTGTACATACATATTTATGTACAACTAGGTATTTTGGCAAAGCTAAGCATTTAAGGACCAGACTGAGGAAAGAGAAGACTTTGAATGTGATCATAAGAACAAAACTTAATTCTCAAGAATTACAAGGGGGAGAGTAGTGGACAGTGTCATGACATAGCTAGGACTGATCAGGGGAGGAATGAGTTTGAATTTCAGCTGTGGAAAATCACCAACAATCTCCATTGAATACATTTTAGGAAGTATGGTGAGTTTACAAAAACTTGAAAGACATTTCCTAAGTTTAGACACATCAAAAATATATTTGAAACGTCTCCGAGAATCAGGTTTACTTGCTTGTACTGCATTTCTTCCTTGCCATCCAGATTTTAATTGGTAAGAATTGAAGATTAATACAAAAAAGAGACTAGTATTGTATTTCCCTTTTTTTAAGCCTTGGAAACAGATTAAAAACAGCCAATTTATAAAATAGATGCCATGGCAAAGTGTGAAATATAAGTCACTTAACTTAGGGGGTAATTCACAGAGCCCCATTTAACTTAATGCTATGGACCATTAATTTCCCATCTCTACTGACAGTAATAATGACCAAATGACATATTCAGAGTTTAAAATCATTGTCAAAATTTTGAATAGTAGAGAAATTTGTTGAATACTCTTTACAAAATACCATAGTTCATTTTATCTCATTACAAAAAGAATAAACATGGGGCTTAACCTTTAGCAAATTAAAAAAAAAATCATTAACTCCCATCTTGAAAAAAGACTTGCCCAGCAAGCCTTGAGGACAATATTCCCGCTCAGAGCAGCCAATCCACAGAGAGGACCATTTGGCCGGCCCCACTATGAGACACGACATCCCTCACTGACCCACAGCCCTACAGGGGACAACACTGGAGACACAGTGTGTGAATTCCGCCCAATCTGATCCCACCACACTGAGGCAAAACACTAAGGGTGTGCAACAGAAAAGCAAGGGGAACAGAGCAATGAAGTCCCCAGGGAATACCAAAAATAGACTTTGGGGCCAGGGATCAACTGGAACACTCCTAAAGGCCAACAAACAGTCCTTGAATTGTTTGTTGTTCTGTTGTTATTTTTTGATCATTGGTTCTTTGTTGTTTTCTTTTCTTTTGTTGCTTGGTTTTGCGCTGTCTTGTTTTTGTGCATGTTATTATCGCCGCAGGTCTGTAAATAAGATAGGCTGG